ACGCCCATCTGTAATGCATGTGGCTTTCAACCAACGCCCCACTTAGCGATGGAAAATCCGCGTCCACTCAGTGCTGTGTGGTTCCAGCTGGGGAGAAGGGAGCCCCTGGAATCTGCTGTTGCATTGTGCCATTCAGGCCTCCCCCAGCGGCAGTGCATTTAGGGGCACACAGATCTCCAGGAGCTGGTTAAAGCGTGTAGGCAGGGTTTTTAGCATTTACAAAAGCGTTGCCGAAGCCTGAGAGAGCGCCTTACAAGACTGGTACAGCTTCTTCCCTGAGACACGTGCTGTGTTCTGAGAGGAGAGATTCCCCAGGGACGTGTGGGGTGTGTGATGGTGGGGACCTGAGGGCTGTGCTGGGCTGGTCACGTAGAGCCCATGCTTCTGGAAGGGTCTGTTGGTGCTCAGAGGCCTTAGAATGGGATGTCCAGACCAGGGCTGTGCCTGACCCACACAATTGGTATTAAGAGTAATTTGGGGGCTGGGTTATCAGAAACTCTTGGGGAGGGTGGGAGCAGCCAGAGGGGGAGGAGGCGGGCAAGGGAGAAGGAAGAGAAGGTGAGTGGGACTCCACCTCCCTGCTTTGGAGAGTCCATACTGACCCTCAGAGCCCTCTCTGGATGCCTCTGATTGATGCCACAGCCCTGGAAGGGCGGGCCATGCTGGTCATGTGGGTGGTGCTGCGCTGGCTTGCTGGAGCTCCCCAGATGCGCCTGCTGTGCCTGCCTGCCACTGCCCTGGGAGCAGGTCTCTCCCAGCTCCTCCCTGTCCTAGGCTGAGGTGCTGCTGTTCCTCCTTGCTCACCTGCTCCTCTCGCCTTAGGGCCCACTCACAGCCCAGGGGGCGCCTCTGCAGGCCAGCTCCAGCCATCCAGTTCACACGCGGAACCTCGAGGCTCTGCTCACGCACTCCACGGAGGGGAAACTGGACCCAAATGCAAGTCTGAACACACTCCAGGGAAACATTTCACAGGCAGCAAATCCAAGAGTGACCTAGAGAATCGCGCCGGCTGGCGTCCATTGCCTCCTTCAGTACACTGTGCGCAGGTTAGCTTTGCGGAATCCGAAGGTCCCCAAGGCAGACAGCCGTCTAAGTGTCTTTGTTTCTTGTGGAGAGGAAGGTTGGTTGTTCCTGGTTTGTTGATGAAATGCTCACCATGACACGTGAACTGCTCTGGTCCTTAGTTTTGATGGGTGGTATTTTACCTCCAAAGGTGTCCTTCGTTAGATGAGACAGACTTATTTCCAAAGTTGAAGCTCCTTAGAGAACCAAGTAGCAGGTGGGGTTATATTCGGCACACTTACCATCTACTGGGAAGCGAGGAGGGAGAGATTTCCAAATGATAGTATTGGTGTGAGGGTGAGGTGTGGATGTGAGGTGTCCCCCAAAAGCTCACGTGTGAGGCAGGAAGGTTCAGAGGAGACATGACCGGGTTGTGAGAGTCTAACCCAATCAGTGAATTGATTCCCTGGGATGAACTGAGTGGTGACTGAAGGGGGTTGTGGCTGGAGGGGGTGGGAGCTGGGGCGTGGCTCTGGGTGTACATTTGTGTCTGGCAAGTGAGTCTCTGTTTCCTGATCACCATGATGTGGGCTGCTTCCCTCGTCCCATTCTCCCGCCATGATGCTCAGCCTCACCTCGAGCCTGAGGAATGGAGCCAGCCTTCTACAGACTAAGACTATGAGCCCCCACATAAACTCTTCTTCCTCTGTAATTGTGTCGATCGGGTCATTTAGTCAAAGCAGCCAAACAGCTGACTCAGTCTGGAACCCACAAGACCTGATTTTTAAAAAACAAACTTTAAAGAATAGTTTTTCATTTAAGGAAATCTGCATTGATGTCCGGAGTTCCACATACCCTGCACCCCAAGTGGCCCGTCGTCGAGGCCGTGCGGTGGTGTGGCACCTGTGACAAGTCAGCAGGCTCACACTGCCCATTATTGACCCAGAGCCTTTCATTGGTCAGAGCTCCTTGGGTTTCATCTAATGTCCTTCTGCTGCTCAGGAGTCCATCCAGGACGCACATCAAGCTTGGTTGTCCTGTCCACGTGGTTTCCTCTCAGCTGGATAGCTTTTAGACCTTCCTTGTTTTTGATGAGCAGAGCAATTCTGAGGATGATTAGTCAGGTGTTTGGAGAAGACCTCCCACTGGGACCTGATTTCTTCCTCCTGATTGGACTGTGCTCGTGGGTTTCACGGAGGAGGCCCACAGAGGTCCAGCAGTTCTCGTGGGATGGCGTCAGAGCCTGCAGTCCAGGTGAGTTCCTGTTCATGTGGGCCTTGCTCACCTGCCCGAGGAAGTGTTGCCGGGCTTCCTTCCCTCGAGTGCCTGGGTCCCTGCCCTCTGTGCTCCTCAGAGGAAGTTGTCATGTGCAGCCCCACCTGTGTGGTGGGGATCATGTGCCAGCAGTATGATCTCTGGATCTCTTTGTGTTCATTTTGTGAATACATAGAGTCTGTGTCTAGTTTGAGGGTGTGGGGTTTTTTTTTTTTTTTCTGTTTTTTGGTACTAGGGATTGAACCAGGAGCCCGTAACCCCTGAGCCACATCGCCAGCCATTTTTCATATTTTATTTAGAGATAGGGTCTCACTGAGTTGCTGAGGCTGACTTTGAACTTACAATCTGCCTGCCTCAGCTTCCAGAGGGCTGGCATTTCCACGTCTGGTTTTTCCTGTTATAAATTCCAACTGCCCCGGCCCCATTTGTTCACAAGACCCGTTCTTCTCCATCCAGCTCCTTTTTGCTCTGTCAAACCAGCTGACTCTATTTGTGCTGTCATATTCGTTTGACTTTGAAGGCGTACTTTGAAGTGATTCCTAAGAAAATTACTTGACTTTCATCTTATTTCCCCTGGTGTATGATTTAATTTTAGCGAAATATTTTTCTCTACATGAGAATTCAAAACAAAAAAGCTTCCATCTCCATTTCTTCTTCCAAAGTTTAGATGTCTTGAACCTCAGAAGCCTCCACTTGAGCAGTAAGGTCTGTCCCTCAGAAAACTGAGGTGTGGGAGGATGGCAGGGGTCGATAGCTGGGGAGTGGCAGGGAGGCGTGGGACTCCAGCCAGGCCCCGGCCTGTGTAGGCAGAGCTTCTGACTTTTCAGATCTCTCCTCAGTCACTCTCATTCACAGGTACACAGACTTCTCAGGTGACAGTAAAAGTGGTGTCATCCACAAGCTGACCAGGAAAGGAACCCAGGGGAAGTCACTCCTAGGAGTCAGGCTGTTTGGAGCCTGCTGCTAATGAGGTACACTCCTGGCTTCTTACCTCCCTGGAGACAAGTAGCTTATTTTTGATCTGTAGCCAAAGTGCAGCTATAAAACCTTTTACAAGCTTGGAGACTTTGTTTCAGGTCACAAAATGAGCCGGGTGAGGCGTTAGGTGTTCAATCCATTGCTGTTACTGGGAGAAGAGCTCCCTGGGTATCTGAGGACACTGAGCCCAGATGATCACTTGCATACCAGAAAAGGAAGAGCACACCTAAGCCCACATTGGCATTATGTCAGGTGGCATTATGTTTGTTCAAAGGTAAAGGGAGAGATGAAGTGTCAGGTCTCGCCAGCACCTGCACTGAGGAGATGAGCTGGGTTCAGAAGAGCTGGCTGCAACATTAAGATAAGAAAACAACGAAGAAATCACGCAACACACGGACTTGAGTTTCTCAGGTTGAGAGTAGGACGGCTCTGTGACCTTAAGGGTCAGCTTCCAGGCTGGACAGTGCTGGAAAGAGAGCGTGCACCTGGAATCTCTTTATTTTATAGGGGGGACACACAAAGGAGCTTCGATGGAATGTTCTTCACCAAATAAGGCAGGGGATAGGGTTCCAAAGGGGGGTTGTCCAATCCCATTGGGTCACGCCCAAGTCCAGGGCTAGAGCAAACTTCTTTGCTGAGTGAAGGTGGAGGCCACTTGCCTGGCACAGCGCGAGGTGTGTGATGCCAGACCAACATCCCCTTACTCAAGGCTGAGGGAGGATGCTCAGCCTGTGGGCAGGGCGGCCTCCCACTTCAACGGGTCACTCAGTGAATGGAGGGAGGGGTCACCGGTGTTCTGTATATCCTGATGCATGACAGTTGTCACACGGACGAGTGACTCTTCCCCCCTTTAGGCCTGTGCTAAATGGCCTGGTCACGTCTCCCATGCATCACCCAGAGCAACAAACATGACCTTGCACAGGAGGGCCGGGCAGAGGGCTTTTCTGTGTTCAGATCCCTTCTCACGCTCATCTCGCCAGTTCTTTAAAATCATATTTGATTCCTTGAAAAATGTCCTTGTTGAAGTCACAATGATTAATTATGAAAGCCATCACTCTACTGTGTGCCTAATACTGTCCTAAGCATTGTAATACTCACTATTCTCTTGCAGTTCTCACAATGACCCTCTGGAGGAGGTGACAGTATTATCTTAATTTTGTAATCACTAAACGAAAAAGCAGAAGACCCATACAGCCCCGTGCCTCATGTTAAAACCTGTTCTGATTTGCACTACAGCATCCCAGTCAAAGCTCTGACGGCAGCTGGCTGTCCCGAGATTGAGTCGACTCCTAAATCACAGTAAGGTAAGGATTGTAGCCAGTGTTTGCTTTATCTGTATAGAAGAAGCTCGGAGAAAGCAAACCCAATGGTAGGTTTTCTTGGTGTTACAGACTGTTGGGAACAGGAGCAGGGGTAAGCACAGGGTGGCTCCTGCCTGGAGTCCTCTGTGGGTGTACCTTCAACATCTACCTGGTGAGAAGACAGAGCTGGTCTGCGGGTGTCAACTGTGTATCAGACGGAGGGGACTCTGTCCAGGGGATGTTGCTGGGAGAGCAGAAACCCAACGTGTAGCAGCTGAGAACCCACAGATGGGATTCCCCCCGTGATGGCCTGTCCAGGCAAGTTTACAAAGTAACCAGGTGGTGATCATACTGAGCACTGTTTTTGGTCAGTTCCACAGGCATTTATTTATTTACTTATCTATTCATCTATCTATCTATTTATTTATTTTTCAGTTGTAGATGGACACAATACCTTTATTTATTTATTTATTTTTATGTGGTGCCAGGGATCAAACTCAGTGCCTCACGTATGCTTGGTAAATGCTCTACCACCGAGCCACAACCGCAGTCCCTTTATTTTCTTTTTTTAAGTCTCCTAAAATTACACATATTTCTTCTGAGTCTTTCATAATCTCAAATGTTGGGCAGCACAGATTGAAAAATAAATTCTATGCATTTAAGCTGCATTGACGATTCATATCTTGTGGTCTAGGCCAGGAAAAAACAGAAAACATTTTAGTGACCGAAATAGCTCTGTCGGGCTTTACATGTCCCTTTAACCCAGACTTTACCTACATGAAAACATTTTAGTAAAAATGTGGATGTGTAAGCGATGTGATTCTGCAATTTGTATTTGGGGTAAAAATGGGAGTTCATAACCCACTTGAATCAAATGTATGAAAGATGATATGTCAATAAAAATAAATAAATAAATAAATAAATAAAAAGAGAGAATGGCTGAACTCTCTGGAACACAGTGCAGAAAAAAGAACTCTGATTGGTTAATTTTGATAATTCTCTTTTATTTTTATTTTTATTGATGCATTACAATTACAAGTAACAGTGAGCTTTGTTGTTATATAATCAATCCTATATGCACATAACATAGCAGTATTATTTGCTTAATTTCATTTCTCAGTACAAATAACAGAACATTTATGATTCTTTGATATAAAATAGAAGGTGATTATTTTTTTAAAAAGGCCTTTTGTATTCACATAGTCTTATCAGTTACTGTATGGCAAGATACCTAAAGGAGTTGTTGAATGTGAAATTTGATCTCCAAAAAGTGTAAAAAGAAAGAAAAAGTCTGTGTTTTCTGTGTTAGAAAGCAAGAATATATACTTAACAAAACACCATAAAACGGTTAAAAAAAATTAAGCAACAATCTGGGAGAACATACTTGTAACTTGTATAGCTAAGAATTACTGTTCTGAATATATGTTTAGAATTTCTACAAAACACCAAGAAAGCATAAAACCCCTCCCTCCCATTATTGTATGTAAAATAAAAATATTAGTGTTAAACTTGGAAAAGAAAAAAGAAAACATTTTAGTGACCAAAATAGCTCTGTCGGGCTTTACATGTCCCTTTAACCCAGACTACCTACATGTGTCTCTCGCAGGTGGATAGGCCGTGTACATAGATGCAGCCCTGTGATCAAAAACGAGGGCTCTGGGGTCAGCCTTGCTCAGTTCATGACAGCTCTACCACTCACCTGGCCACAGACACTTATCTGACCTCAGGAACCTCCCTTGCCCGTTTGTGAAGAGTGGACATTAATAGTACTTGTTTTGGTGGGCACAGCAGTGGATGCCTGTAATCCCAGCAGCTCAGGAGGCTGGGACAGGAGGATCGCAAGTTCAAAGCCAGCCTCAGCAACTTGGCAAGGCCCTAAGCAACTTAGCGAGACCCTGTCTCAGTGATTAAGTGCCCCTGGGTTCAATCCCTGGTACCAAAAACC